TGCTGCGCCATGTAGGTCACCTCCCTGGCCAGGGATCGAACTCATGCTGCAGAGGCTTCTTATAGCTTCAGAGTGCTGCGTCTTAACCCCTAGCGCCACCAGGTAGGCCCAAGATGTAAATATTCTAAGGTGTGGTCATTTGTATTCAATAAATATCCCACTAAATTTATTTTACTATAAATTTAGTTTGTTTTTTGTGTTTATAGTGAAAGAAACTCCTGGAAGACATGACAACTCCTCATCATGTAATAAAGAATATAAATGCTACCAAATTGTAATGCTGATACTATTATTTACTAGTTCTATGACTTTAGATGTCCTATAATTGCTCAGAACCTTATATTCTTCATCAAAAATTGGAAAGATAATTAGCACAGCGGTAGAAAGTCTATAAAGTTCAGGAACTTGGCTCTAATGCTTTCTAGGTGTGTGATATCAGGAAAGTTGCTTAACTTCTTTGAGACGTCAGCTTCCTCCCTTCCTTCCATGGAGAAAGAAGTTTCATTTGTTCAACATTCATTCCTTCAACATATTTTTCTTGAGAATTTTCTATGTGATCAACACTATACCAGGACTGGAAATATATTTGGAGAGTAAGATAGGGTCCCTGATTCATGTAGCTTACATATCAAATAGGTAACTACACAACTGACCACTTCTATTGCAGTAAATTCTGTTGTGATGAATTTTACTAGTGGGAGCTAACCTATGAGCTAACCTGTAAGTGTCAGGACAATTTCCTGGGGGAGGACTTATTTAAGTTGAGCCCTGAAGGATGAGCAGGTATTACCCAGTAAAGAAGGACTTGCAACCGAGATGAGAAAGCATCCATTGTAAAAAAATGAAGAATGATGTAAAAAATATATAAAATAAAAAACATAACAAAAAAGGACTTGTGATAGGCAGAAGGTGAACACTTTTGAAGAAGCAAAGTGATGTAAATGTGGCTGAAACTGGATATACAGGGCCTCCCCGGTGGCGCAGCGGTTGAGCGCTGGGTTGCGAAGCTGCCCGCGGCCTCTGCAGCGCCGGTTCGATCCCCGGCTGCTCCCCGGCCACCAGAGGAGGGTCCCACATAGCGCGCAGTCCTCTCCTGCCGCCCGCTGCTCCCCTTAGCAGTGTACTTCGGTCCTTCTGTCTGCTCTGCTCCCCGCTCTGGCTCTGGTGAATTCTCTCACCCTCCCGCACTTCTGACTGTACCCAGTACATGTATAAACAAAACAAACAAACAAATAAATAAATAAACATGCCTCTATTAAAAAAAAAAAGTTTAATTAAAAAAAAAACCAAAAACTGGATATACAAAGTCCTCATCTTACAGATGCTAATAGAATTAAATATGATTATAAAGCATTTAGCACAGTGCCCAGCACAGAGAAACATACAGATCATGGAGATAACACATCTTATGGTTTGTTGTAGACAATATATGAGGAAATACTGTGTAAGCCAATGGCTGGTTCTCAAACCTCAACACTCATCTTAATCACATGGAGATTTGTTAAATCACAAGTTACTGGGTCCTACCAGAGTTTGATCCTGTGGGTTTGGTGTGAGGGAAATAAGTTTGCTTTTCTAGCAAGTTGCCAGGTGATGCTCTAACTGCTGGTCTGGTGAGAGTGTGCAGGCTTCAAGAACAATTGGTGTAAAAAGGATGGTCCCAAATGCCTGCTAATCAGAGATGAATCTCTCACAATGCTCAGCTCTAGACCCTGCACAGAACAACCTCTCCATAATTACTTGATAATATTCTTGGCACTTTTACAGTGAGAAATTCCTTTTCCTTAAATTTTCACAGGAGAGGAAATCAAGGACTTGAAAAGGTGAAGAAGGTGCCCAAAATTGAACAAGGATGTAAAATAATGGTAGTTAAAAAAAATTTAAAAAAGAAAGGGGAAGAGTTTGAACATGGAACTTTACCTCTGGAGCTCACATTCTTGGTGCATCCTTCCCCAAGGCAGGTGCATGGCCGCCCTTGTGGGAGTCTTACCCTGTGTGCCTTCGACATAGATTAGATGACCAACATGAACTCGCCCTCCATTACATGTAACTTTCACACTTAAAACTTTTTTACTAAATGGATTGGTTGTTGGAATATTTGCAAGAATGTCATGAGATAAGCTTCAAAGATATAACCTTACAAAGTAACTATACCCCAGCACAATTTTATATAGGTCCCTCTCTTGTGGTAATACATTAACAATAATTGAAATATTAAAAAAATAGCATCTGATTATATCCGTGTATGTCTGGGTCAGAAAATGATCATCAATTCATTTTTAAAATAAATTTTATTTTTATATTCCCCATACAATTGCAATCCCCTTATTTTGACCCCAATCCCTCCCCTCCCCGCTCCCCATCCCCCATATAGTGTCTCTGGTTCATAGTTTTTTGCTGATTTTGATTTTCACTTTCTTATAGTTATTCATTTTCCTGGTCCCTTATTTAAGTTTTCTAGATTCCTGCTATGAGTGAGACCATCCAGTATTTTTCTTTTTCTTTCTGGCTTATTTCGCTGAGCATGATCCCTTCCAGCACCATCCATGTTGCTGCAAATTGCATGTGTTTATCTTTTTTGAATGCTGAGTAATATTCCATGGTGTATATGTACCACATCTTTTTGATCCAGTCATCTATTTTTGGGCATTTGGGCTGTTTCCAAAGCTTAGCTATTGTAAACAGTGCTGCTATAAACATAGGGGTGCAGGTGCTCTTTGGAATTGATGTTTCTGTGTCCTTTGGGTAAATACCTAGGGGTGGAATTGCTGGATCATATGGAAGCTCTATGTTTAGTAGGTCCAGAAATCTCCACACAGCTCTCCATAGTGGTTGGACCAGTTTGCACTCCCACCAACAGTGCAGGAGAGTTCCTTTTTCTCCACATCCTCGCCGACATTTGTTGTTGCTAGTTTTTTTAATATGTGCCATTCTCACTGGTGTAAGATGGTATCTCATGGTAGTTTTGATTTGCATTTCCCTGATTAAAAGTGATGTTGAATATTTTTTCATATGCCTGTTGGACATTTGCATTTCCTCTTCAGAGAAGTTTCTTTTTAGCTCTTCTGCCCATTTTTTGACAGGATTATTTTCTTTGTTGTTGAGTCTCATCAGCTCTTTGCAGATTTTTGTGATCAGTCCTTTATCATTAGTGTTGTGTGCAAAAATGTTCTCCCAGTCGGTGGGGTTTCTCTTTGTTTTGGTTATTGTCTCTTTTGCTGTGCAGAAGCTCTTTAATTTGATGTAGTCCCAGCTGTTTATCTTTGCCTTCACTATCACTGCTTTGGGTGATGTGTCTGTAAAGATGTCTTTGATGTGCATATCACATAGTGTTTCGCCTATATTTCCTTCTATGTGTTTTGTCTACGGTCATACCACCCTTGAACGCCCGATCTCATCTGATCTCAGAAGCTAAGCAGGGTTGGGCCTGGTTAGTACTTGGATAGGAGATCATCACTTCATTTGATCCTACCACCATGTATCAGGTAGATCCTAGTCAATTCCATTTCATAGATGAAGAATCCAAGGCACAGAAAAGTCTCCTACCTTGGTGCAAGTCAGAGAGCCAGGATTTGAATATTAGAGCAAAGACTTCAGTCAACTCTAACTCCAGAGTTTGGGCTCTTAATTACATCGATGTGATGATTTATTTGTCCAAAAGGAAAAAAAAAAAAAACTGAGATAATTATTGAGATATTTACAGTTAAAATAAAATAAATATTGGGGCCACCCTGGTGGTGCAAGGGGTTAAGACACAACCTATGAAGCTATCCACAGCCACCAAAGCACAAATTCGATCCCCGGTCAGGGAGCAACCCACATGACACAGCAGACCTCTCCTGACTCACCCGCTGCTCCCCTCAGCAGTGTTTTCAGTCAATCTGCCTGTTCTTTTCTCCACTCTGTCTCTGGTGAATTCTCTCACCCCCACACCTCTGGCCTGTACCCCAGTTCTTGTATACATAAATAAATAAATCTTTAAAAAAATAAAATCAAATCAATATTGAAATGAGTAATAATGAATTCTGAGAACAGAGCCATCCCAAGGAGTAAAGGAGATGCATTTAAACAACTGCCTACAGATGAACGAAATCACTCCCTTTGACAGGAAAAACCAACAGTAACTTTCATCCTGATTTCATATTTCAAGAATTAGGGACTTCCCTGGTGGTGCAGGGGTTAAGTCCCAGTGCTATCAAGCTCCCACCAGCCACTGCTGCATGAGTTTGATTACCGGTTTGCTAACCCACATGGCACAGCAGACCTCTCCTGTCTCTCCTGCTGGCCTGCTGCTCCCCTCAGCTGTGTATTTCAATGGATCTGCCTGTTCTGTTCCCCACTCTGTCTCTGGTGAATCCTCTCACCCCCCCACCTCTGGCCTGTACCCCAGTTATTGTATGCATAAATAAATAAATCTTTAAAAAAAGAAAAGGAAAGAACCTTTAGGATGAATAACCTTTGCTTTTGCTGGGATGCACTGGTGTGTGTGAAGCATGGGTGTGTGACCCTCAGAGATGGGGATGCAGTAGAGTTCTTGTTGCTTTAACTAGTTATTCACAGGCCATATACTTTACTAGATTTAGTTCTATGAGTTAATTTAGCACCAGGACACTAGGCTAAATTAACTGAAATAGTAGACTGTCTAGTTTACTTATTGGGGGACTTCTTGGTTCCGTTGCTTAGGAGCTAATGGTCCAGATGTAAATACCCCGGATCTTCCTGCCAGCAGATTTTCAAAGAAGATGCCCATCCCTGCTTCACCTTCATTCACAATCTCCTGCTCCCCAATAACAGTAAAGTGCAAAAAAGCTTGCCAGGGCCTGCAGAATGCACAGCGCCTCCAAGGGTGATAAGCTTCTCTTCTTCCCCCCTGGGGAGCGATCCTAGCATCTCTCCCTGTGATGTCAGAGGAATCCTGAGCCCGTTCTGGCTCCATGGCTGGGAAGGGCAGATGGTGTGCCCGGCCTCTGGGCACAGCCTGGGGGTGTCACCCGTCAGAGTGGTAGCCCTCGGGGCCGCGGCCCTCCAAGACCCCACCAGGCGTGCACTCTCCGGGAGCGCGGGGGTCCCCCCTCCACAGCCACGAGCGCCGCCCCCGCTGGCCCGCGCCACGCTCCGCCCTGGACGCCGCTCGTCCCGGCGCTGGGGTGCGCGGGAGGTGGGAGCGGGCCCGGCTCAGCCTGATTTACGGCTCTGCTGAAAACCGCTTCGCTCCCGCAGCAGCAGCACCGGCCGCGGCGGCAGCAGCAGCAGCTGCAGCTGCAGCAACAAGTCGGGTAAGTGGCAGCCGCTGGGTTTCTGTGCCTACGGCCGGCCGGGGGTGCGCAGCGGCGGTGGCCAGGGCTGGGCAGAGGATCCGGGCCCCCAGCACCACGGGGAGTTGGCTTCTCGGCCCCCACCTGCAGGAACTCGTGTGCGCACACATCCACTCTGGCACCCTGGAGCTGTCATGCCGCTGAGCGGGGGCGGGGCGAACCAAGACCCCCGCGGCAGGATCCTTGCCGGCCTGCGGGGCTCAGGTAGAGCGCATTAAGGGGTTTCCTGTTAACAGTGTGAGCTGGGGCTTCCTGCGGACCCCTGAAAGCTTGCGTAGTCCCGGAGTGCGTGATTATCCATTTTCCAATCCAAGGGCGCCAGCCCTTTCCTACTGCTTCCTAAAACCCCGACTTCCCCTTCCTTTCCCTCTCACCTGCATTTGGGGTTCAGGGTTTGCATCCCATCCCTAGAGAACCCCTGGTTAAACAAGCCCAGTGTAGTGCAGGAAGAGGCTCCCCTCTCTGGGGGCCAGAGGCTCTCCTTAACTGTGGGGACCATTTGCACCTCTGCTTTTGAAAAGGTTGAGGACCCAAAAACACTTCTTAGCCTGAATCCTTAGCTGAGCCAAGGTCGGGGTGGGGATAGGCAATGTTATTATATTTAAGTAGAAAGCATCCTGCAGGAAATATGCACTGCTTGCAGAATTGGGTTGCTGGTCGTCATCTGTTGCTAAGGCCAAGATAATAAATTCCTACAAGGAAACAAGAACTTCCTGTTATGAAAAGAGTTATGCTGTTTTATACTTGGTTTGAACATTGGCCATCTCTAGAAGTTGCCATATTAAATGAGAATCAGAGACAAGATAAATCCATCCAGAAGCCTCTATTTTAATCAAGTTTTGGCAATGAGCAAGGCCCCACTTAAATCAAATCATACTTGCTACATTGGGATACTGAATTTAAATAAATCGTGCGCATAGGGGACCATTATTGTTATGCTAACACTTTGATTTATGTCATCACAACAGTAATTAAAGGACAAAATTAAAGGCAAAATCTCACGCTGAGAAATTTCCAGCTGATTGTGCCCTTAACACCACTGTGCCTAACTTGAGTAGTGTTTTTGCTATATTTGAGGAAAGATCTCTGAACTTGCTGCTCTTTGAGTCTATTTTGACAATTCATGTGAGCCTTCCTCATTTTTCTGTATTACAAAATTAGTGTACTAAATCCAAGATGACAGGAAAGTTGAATTTCACTTCTGGATCTGTTACTTCCCTTCAGCCTTGAATTCATTACATTGCCTCGCTCCATTTTTCTCATCTGTGAGAAAGGAATGTTACCCACCCTTTTCAGTCCTAGCCAGGACTTGGCAAATTTTTTTCTGTGATGATCAAGAGGTAAGTATTTTAGAATTTGCAGCCCATAAAGTCTCTGTTTTAATTATTCACTGTTGCCTTTTAATGCAAAAGCAGGTATAGACAAAAGAAATGAGTAAATGTGACTAGTTTGGCCCAAGGATTGCAGGTTTTCATTTTAATACACTATGTGCAAAAGCATCTGAAAATAAAAAACTGCGCGCAGAGAGATGAGCAGCAGCAACAAACTTTTCAGTAGTATTTTGAAAATTACTTACGGACTTGTAAACTACATGTTTTGTTTCCTCTGTGCAGGACTTTTAGAGTAATGCAACAGAAGGCTTTTGAGGAAAACAGACACCCCTGGCAGGAGTCCTTGGAGAATGTTGCTGTGTGCCTGCCATTTCGCTGCCCGAGGTGTGGAGATCATACCAGGTTCAGAAGCCTGTCTTCGTTGAGAGCCCATCTGGAATTCAGTCACAGCTACCAGGAAAGAACCCTTTTGACAAAATGCAGCCTTTTTCCATCCCTCAGAGACACAGACCTAGTCACTTCCTCAGAGCCCCTGAAACAGGGAAAATTGCAGAGCAGTGGCAATGTGGTGAAGCAGAAACCGAGCTATGTTAACTTGTATAGCATTTCACACGAACACTCCAAAGACAGGAAGCCATTCGAGGTGGTGGCAGAGAGACCTGTGTCCTACGTGCAGACTTACACTGCGGTGGACGTCCGTGCAGACTCCCTGGATGGGCTGCGCTCGAGTCCAGGACTTCCTACCTCAGACACCAAAGCTTCTTTTGAGGCACATGTCAGAGAAAAATTTAATCGGATGGTTGAGGCCGTGGACAGGACCATTGAGAAGAGAATTGATAAACTTACCAAAGAGTTGGCCCAGAAAACTGCCGAGCTATTGGAAGTTCGAGCAGCTTTTGTGCAGCTGACTCAGAAAAAGCAGGAGGTTCAGAGGCGAGAGCGGGCCCTGAACAGACAAGTGGATGTGGCCGTGGAGATGATTGCTACTCTAAGACAACGCCTGACAGAATCTGAGGAGGAGCTTCTCAGGAAAGAAGAGTAAGTGGCACCAAAACAGGATGCTAACCCCATGGCTTTAGGCCCCATCCCCCTCCCCAGGTTACAAGCAAACCTTAAGCAAGATTTGGGTTTTATTACTTGCAGGGACCTTAACAGTTTTCTGATTGATATGGTTGAAATCTAGGAGGTCCAGTGCTTTCAGTATTATTTACCCTCCTTGTGTGTGGTCGGCAATACAGCAACATGAAAGTCAAAAGATCTAACTCTTTTTACCTTGGAAACTACAGATAGTGTTTTTAAAGAGTGGATTGGCATCGTCTGTCATTGAAGGAATCCATTTCCAGCACTAACTGTTGAGTGGGTGAGTTGAATGAGATAGATGGCTAGGCAGTAAGGGCATGTCGGGTGAGCCACTCCTTTCTTATTGTTTGCATTTACGTATTTATCATATTTTACTTATTACATACACAAATAAAAATGAAGGTAGGATTTGGGGTGCTGGTCACCTGGAGTATTGGAAGACAGTCTGATGACAGGGATGATCACTGGCTAGATAAAGGTTATTGTCAGGGAGCTAACTTATTTAAGGGGAATGGGTTAAAGATGCTGTATTATCAAAAATAACTGGATAACTGACGGTCACCATGTAATAAAGACAAGATGGTGTCCTATCAAGTATAACACTAAGATACAAATAATTTTGGCTTCTTTGCTATTCTGGATTGTCTGTCCATGTTAATTCAATATAGCTGAGAACCCATCTAACTGTAATTTTGATTTGGAAGAAGCAAACATTAGGAAACTGAAAGGAAGCTTTCTGATACTGACATACTACTATGATTTGTTTGGGAATTTTCTTTTTTGTAAAATGATTATGTGATAATTGAGTAAGTCTTATCTGCTTGTAAGAAATTGACAATAATTTTCGCAAGTTATAATCAGAGAAACTATTATTTTAAAGACATCATACTTGGAAAAGCATTTCTTTATCAATAAGTTTGTATTCAACCCAGGCTAGAAAACGTATGTAATAATGCAAAGTATTTTCTTAATGCGGAATTTTGGATTAATTTTAAATGGAGGCTCAGAATTCATAGAATCAAAGGACATAAAAATTGATAGACTTAAATATCCTAGAAGGAAACGTGCCAAGTAATTGAGCTCTCTGTTAGCAATTGACTTAATTTCATACTATGCCCCCGACACTTTTCTATCTTGTGTTATTTCTTAAAATGTAGTTATTAAAACTTCCTGTAGCTGGTAAGAGACTGAGAAGCCCTATATATTAAAGAGAGCATCACTTGCTCCACTATATATGTACTTTCTACTGAGAGAGAAAGCCTTCTTTGCTCAACTAAACATTTTTATAATTATGTAGTAAGAAAGAATTTGAATGAACCACTGATTTACTTTGGTCCTACAAGAAATGATCTCTAACAAAAATACCTCTCTCTTGACTTCTGGTCTCTCCTGGGGGAAGTTAGTGCCCTGAGCATCTATGGCACCTGAGTGGCTAAGACTGTACCACTGGGAAAATGGAAGACAGGGTGTGTCTTAGGCACAGAGAAAAACCTAGAATTAAATTTGTGATATTTCTGTTTGATTCAAGAACAATGAATTTAAAAGGCAACTAAATTATTGTTTGCATTTACATATTGCATTTATATGTTTATCATATTTTACTTATTACACAAATGAAAATGAAGGTAGAATTTGGGGTGGTGGTTGTCTGGAGTATTGGAAGACAGTCTGATGATAGGGATGATCACTGGTTAGACAGATGTTATTGTCAAGGAGCTAACTTATTTTAGGGTAGTGGGTTAAGGATGCTGTATTATTAAAAACAATTGGATAACTAATGTAAAAGTGGGCCTTGCATGGATCATTAATGATGTGTTGTGGTTAACCCACTGCTTTCAACTTAGAAACTCTTGAAAAACTAATACAGACTTGGAAAAACGAACAAAACATTTAACATACTGCATATGTTAAAAGTCCCCCTCTACCAAGCATACCCCGTACCACCCTCCAAGACAGCTCCTCTTTAGTTAACTAAATGTCCTTCCAGACCTTTTCTGTGTGCACACAACACACGTACTTTATACACACAATAGATTTTTTGTTTTCCCCAATGAAATGATGACACATATTATTTCTGTCATTTGTGTGTGGAGTTTTGTTTTAACATAATATGTTATAGGCATCTGTTGTGCACAAAATATAGGATTATGCCATTCATTTTGGCTGTTGCATACTATTCCATGGTATAGCTTGATTATAATGATTTTACTATTGATGAATGCATAGTTTTTGTTCTATTTTCCTAGTATTAAAAATAGGGCCTCAGTTAACATCCTTATACATATGTTTTTGTTAGTGTTTTTGTGACTCCATCTAAGGGTAAATTGAAGTTGATTTTTTGGTAGGACAGTTTTGAACTAGTAGAGGTAAAAAACAATGTCTTTAAAAAAACACTTTAAATGAAAATACAGTGAGGCTGCCTTAAACTTTTACATAAAATAAACAAAGTCCTCATTTTTCTAAGCCTTCATATGACCACATTGTTTTCATTATTCAGACCTCAAATAATCACTCTTTCTATATGTGAGATAAGACTGAAAGAGTCTTGTTTGCAGGAAGGACACTGGAGCTCTTAGTGTGAGGAAGTGACTGTGGTCAGGTCCCCCAGTGTCTGCAGTGTCTGTCCTCTACACCCCTTCCCCCCACAGTGGGAATGCAGAAGGAGCCAGCTGCCCAGCGGCTCTACCAGTAATGTGAAGTTGTGTGACTCTAATGCCTGGCTGGGCCCTTACCTCTTTCCCCCCTCACCACTGAGCTGTGCTTCCATCAAGAGGTCACCCGTAAGATATAGGGAGACATAGTTTGGCCAAGCATCCCCACTCAGGCACTCTCAAGGCCTATTTGTGAAAGAGAGTAGGTTGTTAAAGTTCCATTTGAGATTGACTTAAACTCTGGAGATGCAGATGGTAGATTGTTTTAAAAAAAACACAAACATTTGGTATTTAACATTCATGTAAGGCTCTCTTGCTTATGGATTTCCCCCTCAACTTTAAAATCCTTTCTTTCAAACTGAAATAAAAGATTCCAGGGCCAATTCTGCCCTGAGGCCTTCTATAGGCTGTATCAGCAGGGGTTATAGAAATTATATATATGCTCAGTAACAGAGGCAATTGTTTAAATTGTTAATATTTTATAGTTTTGTGCCAGGATGTCTCATTGTACCTCCCTGGAGAGGTGTCTGTATGTATCTGGTGTGCAAATCTAAGAAAGAAGTTACTCATTGTCTTATGAAGTCTATGCTACTTTAAAAGTCCTATTGAAACAGGTATTTACTTATTCAAGAGAATTCAGAGCTGCAGGGTAACAATGCCCGTAATCAGGTAAATCAATCCTTGCTAACCTTGCAGTCAAGATATCCTTTAACTAGGAACAATGCATGTGGATAGTAGCTGATTCCTGGCCGACTTGGTCACTTGGAATTTGGAGAACATGAGAGTAATAACAATAAATCCCAAATTTTCTCACAAACTCTTCTGCTGGCGAGGTTGAGAAGTCCTGATTGATGTGTGATGAGCATAAAATGCTTGATATTTTTCCCTAAGGAGTTTACATTCTACATAGAAAGACACATACCCATGAAATGCGTAAGTTCAGACCCAGGATAATTTGAACAAGTGCTAAAAGCAAGCCACTATTTCAAGTTGATGAAATGTGAAAAGAACAGACTTCTCCATGTGGAAAGCCACAAAAGGGAGTGAGGAGGAAGGACAAGATTTGTGTTGGTGGCTGGAGAATGGTATTGAAGGGGCCAGAGAGGTGAGTAGAGAGGATTCCTCAAGCAACTGCGACATTTTAGAAATGCAAGTTGCCCCTTCCTTCAGGATAATAGCCTCATCTCAGGCCTGCCCTGGTGGCGCAGCAGTTGAGCGCTGGGCTGCGAAGCTGCCCGCAGCCTCTGCAGCGCCGGTTCGATCCCCAGCCACCATTGAGGGTCCCACATGGTGCGCAGACCTCTCCTGCCATGCCCGCTGCTCCCCTCAGCAGTGTGCTTCAGTCCTTCTGCCTGTTCTGTTCCCCGCTCTGGCTCTGGTGAATTTTCTCACCCTCCCGCGCTTCTGACTATACCCAGCGCTTGTATAAATAAATAAATAAATCTTTAAAAAAAAAAAAATAGCCTTATCTCACATGTGTGGAAATTGAGGCCCAGAGCAATGGAGTCACTTTCCCCAAGGTGAAAATATAGTAACAAGGCTGAAACTGGAACCCAGATTCCCTTATCTCTCTACTGAGTGTTTTTTTTTTTTTTCCATTAATTCATTATGTCTTCACCAAACTTTAGAAAATGTACTATTTGCCCAAAGCATCAAGACATGTAAAAGTGAATCTAGCCCATTTTGGAAATCAGCTTGCAGCTTTGCTATTTTGAGAGGGCTGACATGGTGACATCATTTATTTTTCTGATGAGATTAAAGAAAATGTCAGCTGGCATCAAAGGTGTTGGGAAATGGTGAAATGATGGCATCATAAGTGTGGTTATGATATTGAGCTTCTAGAACAGCCCAAAGTTTTTAACTTCCCACAAGCACTTTTAACTGCACTCTTTGGATGCCCAGGCCAGGGTAGAGCATGTGAGACTACTGGCCTTTGTGCTAAGGGAGGGCCTCTCTGTAATTCCAACTCAGCCCCCCATCCAACTCCCTGGCAAGCTATGATAGATAAAATCTTTCCTCTTCCGGGCCTCTCTGGTGGCGCAGCGGTTGAGCACTGGGCTGCAAAGCTGTGCACAACCTCTGCAGCGCCAGTTTGATCCCAGGCCCCCAGCAAGGGTCCCACATGGCGTGACAGACCTCTCCTGCCATGCCCACTGCTCCGCTCAGCAGTGTGCTTCGTCTGTCTATCTGTTCTGTTCCCTGCTCTGGCTCTGGTGAATTCTCTCGCCCTCCCGCGCCTCTGACTGTCCCCAGTGCTTGTATAAATAAATAAATAAATAAATAAATCTTTAAAAAAAATTTAAAAAA